CATCAGGTTCTCTAAGGCAAGCAAAATAGGACATTTTCAGAGAGAACTTCCAAAGCTTCTAGGAGTCATTTGGGCAAATCATAGTTAATCCAAGCATACCAGATACAGTTTTCACCAGGGAGCCATCATAATGTAACGAGATGTAATGTAATGTAATGAGAATCTCATTCTGATGGTGACAGCATTTCTTTAGAGATTACAAAAATCAAAGCCATCAAACTCACATGGAAGGAGAAGTCTTTAATTGTTTGATAGAGCTCCCCAGAATTTGGAAGAAAAAAAAAAACACTTGTTGCTGGAAATTCGCCTTCATGCCTGAATTGACAGTAACTGAAGCCCTGCAGTTATATTTGACAGGACTGAAGAGCCCTCTACCGGCAGCTGGAGGGAACCGTTCTGTGTAACTTCTGAAAAGTTCAATTATGAATTAATTACATCTAATTGCCCATGACCTCAAACTATCTGTGGGTAATTTAAATGAAGGCTTTTCATTGCTAAATGAAAATTAAAAGAGCAAAGGATACCATTTTTCATTAACAAATTGGCAAAGAGTTTTTTATTGTTAATACTCGTTAAGGAGAGGCATGTAGAAAAACAGATCCACTTACCTACGGCTGGAGAGAGTGTAAGCAGAGAATTTCCAGGAGGGCAGGTTGACGACGTCGGCGAAAACCTGAACAACACAAGCCTTGAGACCCAGCAGCTGCGGGCGTGGCCTCGTTCTAAGGGAATGACCCGTCATGTGCCCCCAAAACTCATCAAAACACTGTTTAATTTCGTAAGAAGGCAGAAACCTCCCAAAGGTTCAGAAACAGGAGGTTCACTCAGTAAATTATGGGACTTCATGTTAAAATGATGTTGGAGAAATAAATTTCATATTGGGTGATCCAGAACGTAATGCAGTGTTTGAGGCACAATCTCGTTTTGGCAAATATGCGTGTCGAAGATGGTCCGTAAAGACAGGAGATGTTTGACGATTCACTTGTACGGAGGAGGCAAAGAGTGTTGTCTAGTTGTCTATGTGTCTGAATATGTATTCTGAAAATTTTGCTAATGAATACTGCTGTTGCAGTAACGATAAGAAAGGACCAAATTTCCACGAATTTCCATGTTTTCAGAGTTTGATCTGTCTGCCCCTTGTATCTGCAAATAGCCCTAGTCTCAGAGCCGTGCAGCCTGTGCCGGCGACCATCCATCCCTGCCTCTCCCCGGGGAGGGGGACAGCCCTGCTCCCCCCAGGGTCATCCTCTCCTGACTCGCCTCCCATGCCGCACAACCTCAGGTCTCCATGCCCCCCATCCTTCTGAAAGAGCGCTCCCTGTCTCCGTCTCTGGCCGTTCGCACCTCAGCCCCGTGTCACCTGGCTTCCGTCCCCTCCGCGCCCTGCCAAGGCCACCAGTGGCCTCCAGAATGCCAAACCCTCGGGCCAACACTGGCCACTGTTGCCCGCTGCCTTTCTGCGCCTCTGACCTCCCTGGGCTCAGGGGACCGCTCTCTTCTGCGCCCTTTGTTCCCTCTGGCCACTGCTCTCCCCCCTCAGCCTGAGCCCTCCCGCTGAATCAGTGTCTTCACCCGTGGCCCTTCCCGACAGCCCGTGCCGCACTCATCCACTCTCCTCCCTCACTTGTGAGCCCCCACCATCCATTCCCCCATGCCCACCGACCATGTTCCCAGGTCCCCCGGGAACAGCTGCCCAGCCCGTCGCGCCTCACACACCCACCGCAGGGATTTTTCTAGAACACGACTAGGATCAAAGTTCTTGATTCAAGTCCTTACAGACCCTCCACGGCTTCCAGGATAGAAGCAAACTCTGTAGCATGGTGATGCCTCTGTGACCCCGAGCAGTCCCATGAGGTCACACTTAGCCCTGCGCCCTGGCTCCTGTCCCCAGCATGGCCAATGTGTCCCCTTCTTTAGGCCCTGTGATCTCCTAGAGACCGTTAGAAGCTCTGCCCTAACCTTTGTCTGTGATCCCCATTCCTGGTCGCCAGTCTGACCCACTTCTCCTTCCTTCTGTCATTAGTGATCCTTGCTGACACCCCATTTTCCTTGGCCCCCCTCACAAGCTGCCCTCCCTGCCCACAGGCAGGGCCTAGAGGGCAGGGAGCCCAGCACTGAGCACGGCACCTGGCACATCAGAGCTCCTTCGCAAGCACTGATGAAGGGAGGCATGTGAGAATAGCTCTCATTCTGGGCTCAAAACAGTAAAGCCAATCTTTGTCTCCCACGACAGCCTTTTGACTATTTGAAAACAGCTCGTTTCCCCCTTGAGTCTTCTTTTCTCCAAGGAAAACTCTCATCCCTTAGATGGTTCCCAGTGGGAGAGGCTGTCCGCACGGGGGTGCCCAGGTTCCATGCCCCTCTTCTCTGCCCGGAGCTGAGCACGGCTGCCAGGTGTCCTCGGGCCAGCTCGCAACTGCGGAAGGTCAGGAAAATGGAAAATGCGTGCTCAGGAGGACAAGACAGTAATGGTTTTAGAGTTCTTCCTGCTGGAATGACAGGGGACAGAGAAGGAAATGGGTTAAGGGGAATGAGACGCTTTTGACCGGGCATCTTGTCTACCATGGCGACGCGGCAGTGTGACCCCGGGTTAATAGAAGGTCCCCGGGGTGTCAGGCAGACCCACGTGTGACTCTGGGTTCCAACATTCCTCCAGGGCTGGTGCACATGTTACCCCCCAACCAGTGACCTCGTATATAAAGGGGGAGATGCCGGGACGTGCTTGGCACGGGATGGGGCACACGGCGAGTGAGGATAGCAATGATGGCATGGAGATCCAGGCACTTGGCACACGATTATTCCTTGTATTGTTATCGTCAGTGCACTCGCTGGGGAAACGTCTTCTGTTTCATTTGATAAGAACTGACCCCTTCCAAACCACGTCCCCACCAAGGTCCTCCACACAGCCCCCTGGGCCCCAAAGCAGGTGAACGGTCCTGTCAAAGCCATTCCTTCACAGGTGCGGGTGCAAACTTACAAGAAGTGCGTAATTCCCCAACGAGCTCCGAAGGCGCAGACAAGTTCACGGGACAATTGTTAGCCGGCACATTCAATGCAACACTGTGACCAAAACAATTTTAAATCGGGTGCTGGAAGTAAGACGGCTGGTGTTGAAATTATCCCAAGCTAAAAAGACTCCTGCATTTCAGGACCCTCAGTGTTGCTTACTTCATTAGAAGCAGAAGGAGAAAAGTCACAGAATTTCTTGGTGCTCACATGTGCAATTCCCATTAAGAAAAGCGGGCTGTGGAAAACCTGCAGCTTGCCAAGTGGACACGGGAGGAGGGAGGCCCGCTGCCCCGGTGAGCACACGATTAGGCAAAGACCGTAGACAACGGTTTATGTGAAAACTGCTGCTTTCTGTTCCAAAGCTACGATTTTTCAGAGGGCGTGAAAAGAATAAGATTTTGCCTTTGTCATTATAAAGTGTCTCTTTTCTAAGAAGCTTAAAACCCAGCATCTCATTTTATCTTCTTTGGGGGCTGGAAGTAGGGAAGCTTTGGACTTAAAATAGCTTTTAGCAGAACAATGCTTCCGTGGAGCCCGCCCTCTGCAGCAGGCCGGCCACATTGTAAAGTTGGGGGGCCGACGGCAAGGAGCCCAGAGAATGGACAGCTGCGGAGGGGGGCCAAGGGTCTGGCTTGTGTACAGGAGGGAACCTGTGGGCGTGACCGTGCTTCCAGTAGACTCTGCAGCCGGCAGCCTGGTCTTGCGTGCTGCTTCTGCCACTCACTCTGCGGCTATGTGAACTTGGACCAGGTCCCTTCACGTCTTCCCGCCAAGTTTCACCCTCTGTAAAACCTGGTTGAGCAGAGTGGCACCAGCCGCCCAGGGCCGTAGCATGGACGAGTTGTCATCAAGTGGAGGGCGTGCTGGGGCCATGCTGTGTCAGCGTTGGCCCGTGTGTGTGCTGTGTGTGACGCGTGTGGCCCTGGCCAGGCACACAGCCGCTCGCTGACTCGCCGTGATGATCACACCCCGCCACGCCACCTAGGAACCAGGATTACAATTTGCGATCCTGGGTTCTTAAACTCTGTGGCTCTGTGTCTAAAAATTAAGGCCTACCAAACAGCGGCCGGCTAGTCCTGCTTCCTCTCTGAACGTGCTGGTGAGCGTGGGGCCATGAAGGCACACAGCCCAGGGGTCAGACGGGCACCAGGATCAAGTTCCACACACTCCTGTCTTTAAGCGTGCATAATCCGCTTCCCCCGGCACCTAATGCTGCGGGAACAGACATGGCCACGGTGCGCCTAGTGATTTTTCCGTCGTTTATTAAATGCCTGTCTTGGTTAAAACTCACGCCTGCTGACTTAATGACGGTTTAAGAAATACAAAAATAGGAGTACATAACGCTATATTTGCTGTGGCCGGAGACGGCTTTTATCTGTCACAATTTTGCACAAAGCACAAATTGTTGCAAAAATACCCGAACTTTGCTATCGTGGGGGCGCTTTGAAGAGATTGTTCGGTGAGTGGCAATTATTCACAGGCCCATGGTAAGGCCCAGCACTGGCGCAAAGCCCTGCCTGCCGTGGAGGGGCTCAGAGCCACCTTCCAGGCAAAACCTCGGCCACAAAGGCTCAGCCGCACAGCGGCGAACAAATAGTGTCACGGGGGCCCCTTGAGCTGAAACAGATTTTCTCGTGATGAGCGAATCTGAATGAACCTGGGAGCAGCGAGTAGGCTATAATTAAAACTCGAGGCCCAAATGCCCGTTTCTTTGCAGCAGAACACGACTGGCTTATTTCAAGCCAAACTGATTTGAGGATCCGGGTCCGAGGGCAGAATGGGCAGCGCAGGTGTGTGTCCCGCCCCGAAGGTGGGAGAGGAGGCAGGGTGGTGCCCCCACCCTGCTGTGCAGGAGGGGTGCGGTCATGCCCTGGAGCCCCTCCAGGCCCTCCCACCCCTAGGAGCCGTCTCGGGGAGCCACCGAGTCCTGCTGTCTGTTGGGGACCAAGAGAGAAATGCATTTATAGCCAAGTCTCTCCTTCTCCTTGCAGGTGGCCCGGGAGCTCCAGCCCTCCGTGGTGTGGATCGGAGACACAGAAAAAACCTTCTACAAGAAAGTCCCCAGCACAGAAAGGATGGTGAGGGCTTCTAGATCTTTCTCCATTTGGCCTTTTCTGTTCCCCCCCCCCAAGGGGACTCTTACTGGGGACTGTCTCTACTTTTCAAGAACGTCTTCTTTAAGGGAGGAAGGGAATGAAGGGGCAGCCATCTCTCTCTGCCCTATACATGTCTGTATTTGAAAAACTTCAGTGGTCTGATTTTATGAGGAATAATTTAGGGGGAAAAAATGAGGGAAATTATGGAAGGAAGGGGGAGGAGGAGATTTGGACCCAAACATGTGACTCAGAGGTAAGAAACAATTCAGAGAATTTTCCTTGGTTAAAGCAAATGGCACACATAGGAGTTATTATTAGGATTTCCTATTGTTCATAATAATAAATAGCAAAGGCCTGAAATTTATGAACAAAGACCTTCGACAGAACTGCTAAGTGCCTGCATTTGGGGCCCCCGGGGAGCCCGCTCTCAACTGCTTCCTTCCTTCGTTTCTCTCCTACAAGGCCCCCCTCCCCCGAACTTCCCCCCACAAATCACCAGCAAATTTCCCACAAGTTAAAAAAAAATTTGCAGATACACATGATTGTTATTCCACATCAATTTGCACCAAAGCAAATAGTGGTTAACTGTGAATTTCTGATTAAATTCATAAGGATTTTAATCACTCTCGATCCTTATGTATTATACATCATTTTTAGCAGGTAGAGATGATTTGGATGAAGAATGAAAGCTCCATCTTTTCTTCCCCAAATGAGCCTTGATTGCCCTGTCATTTCAGAAACTCTTAAGAGGACTCATTCATTATTAAATCCGGGAATCTGGGAGTTCGCTCCCTCTGCTGGCCAAGTTGCTACATGGAAGAAAGTCCCCACGTATGAACACGTGAAGGCAGGCGTTACCATGAGCCAGATCAGAAATCTGAAGAGGCGTGCGGGGCGTGTGTAATCCAAGGTGTCACACACCCGACGTCATCAGAAACCTTGTCTTAATGGGCAAGCGCTCCTCACGCCCCCACTGGTCATCAGCCTGGGGAGTAGGGGACCTGGGTTCCGGGCTCACTCTGCCATTCACTTGAGCCGGCTGTGTGTCTGTGAGCAAGTAACCTAACCTCTCTGAGCACCCACTTCCTTAACAACTTAATTAAAGGGTTCCAGAGAGCACAGCTTCCAGTTCATGGGGCGCCCCTAGCATTCTCTGCCATGACCCCCTCAGGCTGTGGCTTTGCTATCAGCAGTTACAGCGTCTGCACCCAGAGTCTGTGGGGAGACCCAGAGGAGCCCTGGGGGGCAGGGCTGATGGTGGGGAATGAAATATGGGCTCGGCAGACACCTCCCACAAAGGGAGGCCCTGTGCAGGGCAGGCAGCTGGCAAAGGAGAGAGACAAGCACAGTGTCTCTGGGCCTCCCGCCTGACCTGGCCCTACTGTTGCTGATCCCAAGAGACTCAGCCCAAGCTCCAATTCCCACAAACATGGCCATGGGCTAGTGTTATTCCGGTAACAAATGAAGGCCTTTGGTGGCAGAGTCTTTGCAGTGGACAAATAGGACCTTTGTTCTGCCCAGCTCCTCATTAGAAGAGTCTGTCATCTGTCAGGGGAATTAACGGTGCTGAAGAGCATGAATCACTTTCCTAGATAATTCCCAGAACACCTGAGGGTCAGCAAACAGAAGGGCTCCTTGGGTTCCCAAACGTCCTGAGCCATCCCACACAGACAGAGCTGCGAGGGGGGGAGGGGGCTCATCACTGAGTGCCTCCTCCAGCTGTACATGGGAACAGGTGTCCCCGCTCACCCCCCAAGTCCTGGGCCTGCCCCTCAGGCTACCCCTGCTGCCTTCCTGGAATTCCAGGGTCAGGGCTGGACCACCTCTGGTCTCCTTCCCCGACCCAGCCTCTGACTTAGGCTCTTACCAAGTCCCTCAGCCACCAAGGCTGGAGCTGTCTGGAGCATTGTCCATCTGCCTTCTGAAGGTGGCCACCAAAAGCCAAGGGCAGCACCTGCATCCACAGGTGACAGGAAAGCCAGAGGCATCACACCAGCTTCTCATTGCTCACTCGGCCACCCCTGGGAAAGCCAACAGCCCTCCTTCTACCATGGTCCAGCCTCTGTCCCAAAAGTTCCACGATCCCAAAGGCACTGAGGCACAGAGAAGAAAGTCCATCTGCAAAGAAACTAGGAGGCTGCCAAGCCCACCACCCACAGCTACAACACAGACCCCCCACAGTGGCTGCCACCTGGATTGGAGGGATTCCAGAATCTCCCCTTGGAAAAAAAAGTCTCACTCACAGTGACTTACTCCCCGCCTGATGCCTCAAGCTTTAGGTTAAGGCTCCGAGGTGGCAGAATGTATGAGGATCACCCAGTCATCAGCAGCAAAGGAAGAAAGAAGTCAAGGCTGGCCGCGATGGCTACTGAGCTTGGCTCTGCCCTGGGAAGCTGAGCTCCCTGGTGCAGGGACCCCAGGCCCAACACCTAGGACAGCTGTGAACAGGAAGAAGAGGTTCCCAGGGGTACAACTCCTATGTCAAGGAAGCTTCCAGCAACTCTGGGAAGGAAGCCGTCTTCCCCTGTTTTGCACAAGAGGACAGAGGCTCCAAGGGAGCCACAGCGTGCTGGGGATGGTGCTGGGACCCAGAAACAGGTTTGTCTGAATGCAGAGGCCAAGCCCTTCTCCCCATTTGGACGGCACGCCCAGCTGGGATGCCCCTGAGTGCCAGGCATTCTACCTTCCTGCATGCTTCCACCCACGACCTGGACCCCCATGTCTGCCCACCACACCTCCTCAACCCCCGGGCCACTCCAGACCACATCCTGAAAACTGCCTGTGGGGCCCTCTGGTCTTAGAGACGAGGTGCCCTGATCCAGAGTTCCCACACTCCTGCTCACACCCTCGCCCTCTCCCGTTGTCCTCCACACCCTGAAAAGTCCTTCACCTCTAGACTTGCGGCAATATCCAAGCTCCCAGCAGGCCCCACCCCGGCCACCCTCAGGAAGAGCGGCCCAGACAGAGGCCTGGACGCAGCCCGCTTCCTTTCTCCTCCTCCTGGGAGCATCCTCTCCACCAGCTGCGGCTCACACTCAGCTGGGCAGGTGTCTGTGGACGAGCCGAAGGTAGTAAACAATGAGACCAGACAGGCTGCGGCGGCATTTTCTGCACCATTACCCTTCGTCACTCCATCGAGCAGGAGCCTTCCCGACGTCGCAACAGGCCCCCATGAGGGACGCTCCTGCTTTGTTGGAGCCGGCTGCAGTAGGGTTTTGTGGAGGCCGACTGCAGAACAGCAAACGGAAATTGCTGTGTGGATGCTAAGCCCTAATTTGAGACTGCCCCCTGCGGGGACTGGCAGGACCGGCCATAGAGGCAGTGGCTGTGGAGGTCGCCAGGTGACTGTGGGGATGTTGGCTGGCGTGATGGATGGGCGCCAGGGTCTCGTGCATAACGGACAGGCCTCTGAACTGGAACAGGGGTGGCCCAGGTGCAGGGGAGTGCTGACTGAATGGCCTCGCCTTTCATTCTCACCCCCTCCTAATGAGACTGCGCCTCACCATCAGCAAGGATGTCACCCTAGATGCGGCCCAGGACCAACATTTGTTATCCAAACAGGCTAATTAAGTTCAGGTGTCCCTGCCATTTCAGGACGTGCAGGTAGCGATATCATCTGCCTCAGAACAGGCAGACGGCACCACTATCACCATGGCAACTAGGCTGCTGGGGATGGGCTCAGACCACACAAGCATGTCTCTCACCACACAGAGCGGCGGTCTCCAGCGTCACTGGGGCCCTGGGATCAGTCCTGCTTCCACCAGCCTTTGGGCAGCTCCCCCATGCGCCCTGCACATCCCAGTCACCCTTGACATCTGCTTTGTTCTCCATCAAGCTTCTTAAAAGACCAGTCTGTTGTCACCATCCCCGCACACTCCTCAACCCACCACCATGTTTGTTGCCTTCCAACTCCTTCGAAACTGCTCTCAAAAAGTTTTTCTTTGACATCCATTTTGCCAACAAACACTTTGGTTCACTTGCTCTCCCTTTATGCCATGTTCAAGATGGTTAAATTCCACTATTTCGTAAAACTCTCTCTTCCCTTAGCTTCCATAGCCCTGGCCTCCTCATACCCCAGCAACACTTTTTTCTGTGTCTCCTCCTGTGTCTTCTGTGTCTCCTTCTGTGTCTTCTGTGTCTCCTTAGGTTTCCATCCCAGGCCCATGACCCCTTTCTCTCTCCTTGCCCTCCTTGGGCACCATCTCATGGCTTGAAAAATCACGCCCAAACCAATGACTGCCCCACCCCACCCCCAGCCCAGTGCTCTCCCCTGAGGCTCAGGTGCCTGCATCCTTGGGGAACCTCCCACACAGTGCTGCAAAGCCTGCCCAAACTCTCCTCCCTCACTACCCACCACCCAAACTGCCGCTGCTCCTGCATTGTCAGAAGGTTGGTTTTATTTAAAATAACCACTCTTCATAAGAGGGCTTTGGATTCACTCTGGTAAAATGAACCCTGAATATCACCAAACTCTCTAAGCCTCATCCAAGTGCAGTAGGATATTTCCTGGCATAGGTATAGATATTCCTATGAGGTCTCTTCTTCCAGAATCTCAGCAGAGGGCTTTCTTCAGTGGCATGGAGCCCAAAGGCAGTTTCTCAGAGCTAAGTAGATGAAGAATTATCATTTACCATAATGGAAACTGATGGGAGATTTTTAGACAGTCATTTTGAGTTCTGTTGGCAAATTGCTAGTTTCCTCCAAATAGCAAAGCCCCCAGCTTTTCTGTCTCTTAAAAACTTTGCTCTTCAGTAGAGCGGACCTGGCATTGTTTCCTACCAGCACTTATATTGCAGAATAAGACACCAATTATCCCTTAATAAGCACTTTGTCAGACAGACACATTATGCCACGCAATCCTCACAACATCCCTGTCAGTTAGGCTCTGTGATTATCCCCATTTCTCAGATGTAGGGACTAAGGCTCAGAGAAATTGAGCAATCTGCTCAAGGTCACACAGCTGTTAAGAGCAGAGCCAAGACTGCGATCAAATATGTCTGAATCAAAATCTATACATTTAACTATTTGCCATACCATCTGCCTATTATTATGGAGTTTCTTCCTTGGGCTTGTTTTTGTTTTTTTTTGTTGTTGTTTTTTGGTGGGGAGGGGAGGGAGTTTGCACATAGCCTGGCCCCCAGGTTAAGTTCAGCATCAAAGTAAAGGCCCAACAAGCACCCCTCCCTGTCCCAGGACAGCCCAGAGGCTGAGTCTGAGAGATGGCAGGTTTCTACAAAGACCTGGGGTGGGGATTAAGGAACAGCCCTTTCATGAGCAGATCTTCATCCTCATTGTGAGAGCTGTCCATTTCTAGGATTCCAGGAAGTCTCATTCCATCATCCCTCTCCTGTGCTTTCCCCTCTTTTAAGCTCCTCTGTTCTCCTGGATGGAATCATACAGGGCCATTGCTTCCTCCTGCTGGAGCTAAAGGAGGCTCTGGATTCCTGTGGGTGCAGGCGGAAATGATAGGAAGATGCCTCGTGGTCTGGCCTCAGGCCCAGCTTCTGGGATTTATTTTGCTGTAAAAATTCCATCTCTTTTTCTGCTGTGAATTACATTATAAAAAGTCTCCTCTAAACTGAATCCAACAACATAGAAAAAGGATTATACACCATGACCAAGTGGGATTTACCCTGGGTTTAACATCCAAAAATCAATTAATGTAATATAGTACTATATCATTAGAAGAAATGACAAAAACCATCTCATCTCAATGCATGCAGAAAAAGCATTTGACAAAAATCCAGCACCCCTTCATAATAAAAGACTCAACAACATAAGAAAAGAAAGGAACTTCCGCCACCTGATAAAGGGCAACTACAAAAAATCCACAGCTAACAAACAGCAAAAGACTGTATGCTTTTCCCTTAACATCACCTCTTCTCCCCAGCATTATATTGGAGGGTCTCACCTGGGCAATTAGGGGAAAAAATGAAAGAAAAGGCATCCACATTGGGGGAAAAAAGGTAAAACTATCTCTATTTGCAGATGGCACGATCTTATATATAGAAAATCCTATAGGGTCCACTAAAAAAGCATTAGAACTAATAAACAAGTTCAGCAAGGTTGCAAGATACAAGATCAATACACAAAAAGCAACTTATTTCTACACACTTGCAATGAAAGATCAAAAATTAAAATTAAGGAACAACCATTTATAATAACATCAAAAAATAAAATATTTAGGAATAATTTAACAAAGGAAGTTCAAGATTTCAACTCTGAAAGCTACAAAAACGTTGAAAAAAGTTAAAGAAGACCTAGATAAATGGAAAGATACATCAAGTTCATGGATTTAAAAACTTAATATTGTTAAGTTGGCAAGAATTCCCAAACTGACCTGCAGATTCAGTGAAAGTCCCATCAAAATGCCATCTGACATACTGGCAGACATTGACAAGCTGATCCTAAAATCCATATGGAAATTCAAGGGACCTTCAATAGCCAGATTAATCTTGAAAAAGAAGAACAAAGTTAGAGTACTTACACTTCCCAGTGTCAAAACTTAACCACAAAGCTCCTGCAATCAGGACAGTGTGGGGCTGGCATTAGAAGAGACATATAGATCAACGGGATAGAATTGAGAGTCCAGAAGTAAACCCTCCCTTACGTTTTCAATCAACTGACTTTTTGACAAAGGTGCCAAGAAAATTCAATGGAGGAAGTATAGTATTTTCAAAAAATGGCGCTGGAACAATCAGATAGCCACCTGCAAAAGAATAAATTTGGACCCTTAACTCACACAGTATTCAACAATCAACCCCCAATGCATCAAAGACCTACAAGAAAGAGCTAAAACTCTAAAACCCTTAGAAGAAGGTAGAAGCATAAATCATTGTGACCTTAAATAAAGCAATAATGCCTTAGATATGACACCAAAAGCACAAAACAAAAGAAAAAATAAGTTGCACCTCATCAAAACTAAAGACTTATTGCTGTAAAGGACATCATCAAGAAAGTGGAAAGATGACCCACAGCATGGAAGAAAATACTTGCAAATCATAGATCCAATAGGGACTTATGTCTAGAACATATAAAGAACTCTTATAACTCAATAATAAAAAGAAAAATGACCCAATTTTAAAAGTGGGCAAAGGATCTGAATATGCCTTTTTCCAAAGAAGATAACAAATGGCCAATAAACACATGAAAAGATGCTGAACATCATCAGCCATCAGAAAGACACAAATCAAAACCCCAATGAGATACCCCTTCACATCCACTAAGGTAGTTAAATTTAAAAAAAAGGGGGGGGAAGAAAGAGAACAGAAAAACACATAATAACAAGTGTTCACAGTATGTAGGGAGATGTGAACCTCAGCCACTTTGGAAAGAAGTCTGACATTTCCTCAAAAGGTTAAACATAAAGTAACTATTTGATCCACAGCAACTCAATTCTTGTGTGTGTGCCCAAGAGAAATGTTCATGGCGGCACTATTCACAATAGCCAAAAAGTAGAAACAACCCAGATACCCATCAACTGATGACTGGATGCCAAAAATGTGGCCTATCTGGACAATGGCTATCATGTGGCAAGTAAAGTGAAGTATGAATGCATGCCACAACATAGGCGAACCCCAAAAATGTTATGTGAAATGAAAGAAGCCACTGACACATACGTGCGCACATGCACACCACATATTGGATGATCTTATTTCTATGGAATATCCAGAATATACAAATCTGTAGAGACAGAAAGTGGATAACTGGCTGCCTAAGTCTGGAGAAAAGGGTTAGGGTGGAAACATTCAGTGACTGCTACTGGGCAGTCTTTTGGGGGTGATGAAAATGTTCTAAAATGGACTATGGCAATGTTTGCACAACTCTGTGAATATACTAAAAGTCACTCAATTATACAGTTTAAAAAGATGAATCGTATAGTATGTGAATTCTACCTCAATAAAGCTGATATGGATACATCATAATAATATATATCTAATAATAAAATATGGCATAACAATATAATAATAATAAATATATATTTTAAGTCTCCTTCGCAGCCCTCAAGTGAGATAGGCCCTTACCCAGGAAGGGGGCTGGGGGGGCACATCCCCTCTGGGAGGGGGCACCCCAGCAGAGCAGAGGGAGAGCACGAGTCTGGGAGTCTGGGTCCTGCTTGTCAACTCTGGGACTCGGGACATCACTCAGCCTCTCTGGGCCCCAGGTTCTCATCTCTGAGTGAGGGGGGACTGTCCCCTCCAGGGGAGGTTCTGAGGACTCAGTGGGGGAGTCCATGTCGTGGAGAGAGAAGTACCTGGAACCCAGTAAGCCCCCACCAGCTGCTACTTACTAGGATTATTCAGCTGGAAGATGCATAATCAGCCTGGACAAAAGAAGTGGCAAATGCAGGGTCGATGTCGGAGAGGACCAGCTTCCTGCCTTATCCTTGGATAGCAATGGAAACCCCTGGTCTCGTGCCTTGCTGGCGCCAGAGCTCCCCGTGTTTCTGCAGCTTGCCATCACTCTTTCCTCCTAACGGCCGTGCAGCCTCTGGGCACCTGCCCTTTCCTACCCAGCCTCCCTCCTGCACCTTGTCAATGCAGACGTGGAACCGGGCCTCCTCGCTGGTCAAAAGAAAGGAAAAAGAAGAATGCCAACGATGCTGCGGACATGCACGGACAACAGCCTCATGTTGCAGAGCAGTCAGTCACCCCTGGCTGTGCAGCTCCCCTGGGGCGCCCCTGCCCTCCAGGGTCCTCGATCATACCTGACTCCCCCTCCACTGTGCAGAGAAGTTGGTGCACCCAGCTCTGACTCCCAGCTCTGCGGGGCCCACGAAGGGCATCCTGCGGAACACGGTATCATAGCACATGAGCACCCCTGTCCCAGGGGCCCTGCAAACCGTCCCCAGCCCTGTCACCCCACCCCCAGCTGTGGCTTCAATGCCCTGCCGCTCCCTGTTATTCCTGAGCATTGGGTTTATGAAACACCTGCTCTCCCCCAGGTGTAACGGGCCCTACCTGCCTGCAGGGTGTCTCTGGGCTGGGCTGGGCCGTGCAGGGACCCACGGGGACACCAGGGCCGGGCAACAGGCGCCGGCCCCTGCAGGATGTTCCAGCGAGCTCAGGCCCGCTCTGCTCCAGAAAAGCCATGCACTGGCTTCTTTCAGTCCTGTTCAACATTCAGATTCTAATTGGATCAATCAGCCCTGAGCCAAGTGGGAGCAAAAACAGCCGCGACCCTCAGGGCTGCTCTGCGGAGGCTTTCTCCATCACCCCACTGTCCCCCTCCCACACTTCTTCCTCGCGCGGCTGTGCCAGTGGAGGCTAATTGAAAGCTGGTGCGTTGCCATGGCAATGTGGCCAAATCTGACCCCCATGGGCTGGAAGTCATCTTCCCTGGGGTACCCTGCATCTTGCTCCTTCCTCTCCCTCATTGCTCATCTCCCTCAAATAATACAGGTTCAGACTCTTTCCAAACTGCTTCAGAGAGAGAAGCATCACACTCTTTTGTAAGCAGGTGCTTTTCAGACGGGAGAACCAGACCCTCGGAGGCTTCCTGTCAGGGCCGTGGGCGAAGGCAGTCTGGGGTTCACCCTCAGAGCAGTTCAGAGGAATGCGGATCACCACCACGAGGCCCTGCTCCGGCCAGCTTCCCTCTGCTTGGAAGCCCACGCTGCTTCCCATTCTGAGGGTCGAGGTGTTAGAAAGATCAGTCAGGTGCTTCCTTCCTTCCTTCCTTCCCCCTTTCCAAATCTGAATGCCAGAGGTAGAGGAAAGGAAGAGCATTGCAATTCAAACCACCCAGACCAGCACGAACTCTGAGGATCGTGTTTATCTGAGCTTTGAGGTTCACTCTAACACATGCATGCCGCAGTGCCTTCTAAGAATAAGTGTTCTTCCATCCATAATTCTTTTTTCTGTTCATGGGCTCATTTTCCCCCCTCTCCCTCTTTCTCCCAGATCGAGCCTAAACGCCTCAAAAAACAGCTTCCCAAAATCCTGAGACTCCTGAAACCGGACGACAGGATTCTGATTGTGGGAACAACACAGCGCCCTTTCGATGCTGAACTTCAATCTTTTTGCAAAGTTTACCAAAAAATTATTTTGGTTCCCAGACCAGACTATGCTTCCAGATTCGGCAAGTACCCCTGGCCCCTTTCCGGGTGTGGTGACAGAGGGTAGGCCGGGTGGCATCAGCTTGCAGGAACATGGCACTGGGGTGAGGACCTCACCAGAAGGTGGTGGAGGTAGAGCCTATGCACTGGAGATGGCACCAGACATGGGCAGAGCCTGGGCCATAAATACAAACGACCAGATCGTAAGAGCAAAACATGCCTAGCTGTTCTGTTGTTAACATTGTTCGTGTACCCAGGACAAAAGAAACTGGACAGGGATTATTATTTTGGGCCCTGAAGGTGACAAAAGTCATTGCGGGTGCTAATTTTTCTTTGGACAGGTGGATTAGGTTGAGCTGTCTTGGACCCACGGTGACGGTGCCTCTCTCAGAGAACATCATTCTTTCCATGGGTTGATTTTTTTTAAGTTTTCCAGTCTCAAAGTATTAGTGCAGGAGCGTGCTGACTTACTTAAAATAACCATGAAAGATAAGAGCTCCTTTTTCAGTTTTTTCCTCTTGACCAGACAAATTCAAAATCTCCTTCTTTTGAAACATATTTTTAAGTGGGACTAACACTAAAAACATGATTCTGGAGGCAGTGCAATGAAACTGTAAAGAGCCATGAGATACTAGCCCTGAGGAGATGTGGTTCTGAATCCCAGTTCTGCCACGGGATGGCTGGACAACCTTGACAGCTCAGTGGACCTTCTGAGTCCTCTACTGTTTCCTTGGTAAAGAGGACTGTTTAGTCCCCAGGGCTGTCATGACCCTTATGTAAGGCAGGCAGCAGAACACCCAGCACCGTACCAGCCCCTGGGAAAGCCCGGGTGGTGCTGGGCAGGGAGGAAACCAAGATGGCAGCCACGGTTATGGAAAAAGAGTACATGACCCGGCACTGAGTGGCCATGGTGGTGCAGTGGTGGTTTCTATTATCTGCTGCCATGGAACAAACCACCCCGGTAGCTTAAAACAAGAAATTATTCCATCTCATGATTCAGAGGGTTCATGGGCTCAGACAGAAAGTATCTCTGGATGTTGCAGTCGGACGTCCGTTTGAGCTTCATCTGAAGACTCCTCAGAGCTGGACATACGTGGTCATTCACTCCCATGACTGGAGTTGATGCTGGGAGCTCAGCTGGGGCTGCCAACCAGATAGCCTACACCTAGCCTTTCCATGGGTCCCACGAGAGAGCATCCTGAGAGCAAACATTTCAGGAGGTTCAGGCAGAAGCTGGAAAGATTCTCGTGACCCAGCCTCAGAAGTCACACAAAGTCCCTTTCACCAAACTCTACGGGTCAAGAGCAAGTCCCAGGCCAGCCCAGATTCAAGGGAGGTGGACTACCCAAGGGTCTAAATACTATAGCGTGGCTCAGTGAGGGGTTGTCTTTACTTCTTGTGGTGGTGATGATGGTAGTGGTAGTCACAGATTTGGTATAGACGGTGATGGTGGTGTCAGTGTGGCAAATGGCCGTGATGGCAGTGGCCGCCTGGTGCTAGGGAAGAGGAAGGGGGTCACATGGGCGGGGTGGCAGCAGCGGTGGTGGTGATGGTGGCCGTGGTGCAGGGTGGTCTGGACAGGAATGTGCTCCCATTAGAGCAGGGCTAGAGGTGAGACAGCCTATGGTAGCAGTTAACATTAATAAGAGGAATGAGAATGACCAGGTCAGACTTGGTTTCTATGCATCCTTCTCCAGTCACAATAGCACCCCCAAAACAGAGGGACTTTGTGACCCTTTCTGGTTGTTTTTAAGTTCCTGGCCCATGTTATTTGCTAGAGAACAACCAGCCACTCCATTTGCTGTGTGAGCTCATTTCTGTCTTGATAAACTGTGATCCTGGCTTCACAAATCCATGTCATACACAAAGTACAGGAGGACGTTGGTTCGATTATTTCTCCATCATTCTAGGGGCTTCTCCATCTCCTGGAGCCTCCAGACCCTCCACCGGGTCCTTGCATTCAGCAAGCATCAAAGGAAAAGAGAGAAGACCGTAGAGAGTATCTAACAGGAGATTTTAGGGATAAGACCCGGAAGGGCCGGCTGTTGTCTCATTCGTGTTGCATTGGCCAGAATGACTCCCACAGCCTCACTGAAGTTCAAGGGGGTAGGGCTGTGCAGTCCCACCAAGGAAAGGTTTGGTACGGAGCTGGGTAGGTGCCAGCAGTCTCCACCCACTGGGAGTCCACACAGAGCATCCCCACTCCTGGCTTTCCCGCTCTCATTTCTGTTAGTCAGATTTCCTCTCAGGATCCCAGGGTTTGGTTTGGGTTGGGTTTTTTTGTTGTAGATATGTATTTTAAGCCATCTTAACGGAATAAGGTGGGGTGTTATTAATTTTCAGGGACCAGAGCATTATTCTTGACTTTGGATTGAATAGTTTCTATTGTTTGACAAAACCATAAGCCCTTTAAGAATGAAGTTATTGATGTATAACAAGGACAGTTGTGTTGTTTTGATAAAATGCCAGGCATCTCTAAGGACACAGATCACATTACAGATTCCAACCTGAGTCTCTCCGTGGCGGCATCATAGGGGAGGAAGGAGAAAGCATCCCTTCACCTGTGGGCAGATGATAAACCTGCATGCAGGAGTTCTCTTGGGCCCAGGGTGCTGTCCACTAAACCTCATGCTTCTCACATATTTCTTCCATGGTGGGTGATTTGTTTAGGTCGCCATTCCTGCTGACATCATAAATGCTGTCCAGCATTTCCTCCAGTGACCTTGAAGTTTTCATAGCCACAGTGGCTGGGACATCTATCTTAAAGAAAGACTGTTCCTGTCTTTGCAGTGATCAAAAATAGTCTCTTCCAGCCCATAAAGCATGGGCTGCAAATCCATAACCTGGGCCTCTGCTTGGCCATCTATCTACCAGCCGCAGAGCGCGGAAGGTGTTGGGGAACATTCACCATCCGGCTTCTTAAATCCCTCCAGGCAGGGTGGGGGAGTAACAGCACTGAGAAGGGGAGGGTGGGTCAGCCTGAGGAAGCACGATCCTTAAGGTTTACCAAATAGAATTCAATATTTACCTTCTTTCCCCAAATCAAGCTGTTTCCTTCAAAATGTCTGCAAAGAAAATCCACCCGCAAGGTTGATTAATGCCTCATTCTAGTCCCCAGAAATCCCTCTGGGCCTCCTCTTCCCACATTCCTAATGCTTCCTGCTCTGGCCTCTCTTCCCGGGGGTCTGTTTCACTAATAACCCAATTCATCATAGGCCCCCACCCCAGACCCAGTGTCTGGTCAGATGAGTTCAGTCCACATCTTCCGATTCCTCTGGAATTCTAGTCTTCAGAGGCCAGAAGCTCATCCAAATCACATTATCACTTCCTGGGCTTTTGTAAAATCACAAATAACAAATGAATTTTAAGAGACTACGTCATCTCAAGAACACAGTTGGGAGCCAGGACAGAATCCATTTGGAACGTCAAAAGCAGAGAAGGAGATCCAAAGACCAGATTCTTTTCAGTCTAAAGAAGGGAAAGAGAAGGCAGATTAGGCTGAAGAAGTGAGGAGCCTTTGCATCCAAGAGAAGGAAGGTAAAACACAGCCCTCAGTCTGGAGAGCACCGCAGCTGCCTTCACCATGTTCCATTCGCTGATCCGGTCCTCCCCACACACCCGCAGCCAGCCCTTATGTCTGTGGCGCTCTCATCCTCTCCCCCTGCGCTGCTGGGCCAAAGACTCGGAGACCGTGGCTCCAGAGTTCACTGTGGGGTTCGCACCCCCATGAGCCCTCCAGGCTGTGACTCACTCTGCACATGACACCCTTCTTAGCGCCACCTCAGGTGGCTTTGTAGAAGCAGTAGAAGCTCTCCTTTTAAAGGCAAGTCTAGTTCATCAATAGGAGAAGTCAAAGTGATTCTCTTTCCCGTTCTCTGGATCTTGAGAAGACTGTGGGCAAGTGGCGAAGTCCCACTGTAGCTGTGACTGCCTTCACTGTTTCCCTTACGGTGCCTCCATTAACAAATGGTGAGCTTTGGGGGAAAATCAATGATGTGTGTATTTTGAGGAACTTTGGCCAAAACTCTACGTAAGTATTAAGTACCATACATTTTAAAGTGTCAATAGTGTGTTCCTAGGTACTTGCTAGACCAGAGTAATTGTAGTTTTTTGCTCTGTTTCTAAAGAATCTTTACTTATAGAGAGACCTCTCGTGTTGGGAGGCTAGACAGCTGTGACTGTCATAGCTTAGCAGGGAGGCAGGGATGAGAGCCCTGGCCCTCTCCGTTTGCTTACCCACTGGTCCACTCTATGCCGTGGGTAAGAAGTGTGCCTGGGATGCACAAGGCTGAAGCTGTCTGAGTTTCCAGCCTGGGATATCTACTGGGTCCTCAGCTGGAGGAATTATGCCCTGTGCTTCAGCATAAAGCCTGCTCCCTTCACAGCTTCCAGAGTCACCATTCAGATTTGTTCACCCTTTTTTTCGATGTTATAAATCTGGGCAGGGGCACACTAGATCCCAAGGGATGATGCTGCCTGGTCATTGTTCTTATTTTTCCCATGGGTTATATTTTATGATTTCTAAGTCTTCCCCAGTTATATCCAGGTCAGGGTAATCTGTTTTACAGAAATATTCTTTAGCATATTTTGTATTTATTCTTTAATGAGCATTAGGAAACTTCAGTACAAAATGGAATGACTAATGATAATTACAAGAACAGTAACACCACTACAAGAAAATAAACTGCCCACCATATGCTAGATCAGCGCTCTTCCAAGCACTTCCTCTACATTCTTGTATTTATTTCTCACAGCAGCCTGAGAAGTAAATCTTTCTACTTGCATTTTATAAGTAAGCCTAAGATGGATTCGAGCTCAAACAGTGCCACCAAGGAAGTAGCCGAGCAGATCTAGGGGATTAGATGTTGCTTTAGGTCAGTTTGGTGGCCCACGTGGCCCTTGATACCTAGCCTTACACAGCTGGGAGACACAGTATGGCCCCAGGGTAATATGCACCCCTCCCAGCAACTCAGCTCACCACAAGGCCAAGGACCACCCCGCCCCCATTACCACCAAAGTCGATGGTGGAGGTGGATTGTTAAAATGACTCATGACCCAAAATCCCACTCTATGATGTGGTTCATAGATATACGGCAGGTCATTCTATTCCTGGACAATAATTAGACCTTTTCATTTTATCAAGTATTTGTGGATCAATGTATTTGGATGAGCTAGTCATTTAACAGACCTGACAGTGTTCAGATTATATAATAATGGTCATTTAAAAAAAAAAAACTATTTCAAATATTCCCTGAAGAAGGTCAAAATGCTTGGGAGACATTTGACTAGATCCTCCCAGCACTCCAGCACTGAGAATGGCTCGGAGACAGGTGGCCTTGGCAAAGTCTCACCTTTCTCACTGTCTGGATACAATGAAACAAGCCATGGTGAATCTCATGCACTTCCCTCTCTTTGTGGAATGGATGTAATTCCTTGAGTGTAATATTATTTCAAATGCTGTGTGGGAACCCATTCTATCTCTTAAGTTCAGTAATTCCATAATTCATTTTCACGACATCCCTGTGTTCTAAGAGAAATCTCTCTCTGTTAACCCAGGTCCCAGTAACCCAAAGAACCACCAGGGATCCACCCAGGGGATTTTTTCAGGCAACCTCTGCCTGTTTACGATTGTTGGGGGTGGAGAGTAAGAGTCAAATTGCACCCAAAGGGAACTGAGCCCGCTAGTGATGAATGGAAATTGGAATGTGCATTCCAATTCCACATATAAAAATAACGCACAAAAACTTTATAATTAAAAAAAAAGTCAAACTCCTACTCATACAAACACTTTGGAAAATATAATATTCTGAGGAGCAGAGATCCTATATGTACCTTATCTGAATTTCCAATTTTGAAAGATTTTGAACATCTTTGAAGATACCACACTGAAACTATACTGAACATGGTTTCATTTTTTCTTGTTTTGTGGGTCTAGGACCTCAGGGCCATTGATATGTATGTCTTATGGTTGAAAATCACTCAGAGGAAAAAAAGTATTTAGTTACATGGCTTCCTGGCTCATTTGAATTACAGTTAAGATGGAGTGTTCCTCCTGTACATTCCTTTCTTGATGACATGCAACTTTGTACCAAGACTAGATAATATTGCTTTCTCTGTGGTGACCTTTGTTCTCTGTGTCTTTTCCACCATCTTGGATACAACAGTTTTGTGGAAACAGATCATTCAACGCAATGGAGGCATCATTACCAATGCCTTGAATATAAGTTGCCTGGCAAAGGTCACCGATGGCTTCACCCAGGGACACATAGTCGAGATGGTTCAAGGTGTGCTCACAGACCGCAGAATACGGCAGCAAACTTACAAACCGCTCACAGCTGCGGAGTTTATTGCAATGTTAACCAGCATGAGTCCGGTGTACCAGGAGGAAGAAGAGAGCTTTAAGGTAAACGGAACGCCTATGTGTCCAGGTCTTAGTCACAAACACTTGTCACATGACCTCCTCCTTCTGGTTCCTGAGTTTCATGAATTTGTTATATACAATGAAATTTGGAAATTTGAAATTTTTAGATCACAAATTCATTCCAGCCTTGCCAGTAAAGCATGTGCCTTCCAAAATTTAGGAAAAACTGTGGTCTGTGACCTTATAAATTAACAGCCAAATTGCAGAAATAAATAGTAGCTTTGAAACCACTGGATCCAAACACACACACACACACACACACACACGCATACACATACACACAATATGTACATGTACACGTGCCTTCCCGTTGGTTCTCACTGGTTTTTACTTCATAGTTCATGTAATGGAACAAGCTGTGCGTACATAAAGAAAACTAAATAGTGCATTTCCAGCCCCTGCTAGTTTTGTCCCCGATTCGCTGTGGCGTGCTTCATTTTTCAGTGCATTTGCAATAGAAAATCACAAGAGAACTCACCAAAGTGTAATTTTCTAATTTTGTATTATATTGTGTGATGTTCATGGAATTTTTTAGATCTAGAGGAAACCTAGAACCAGCTCTTCCAAATCCCTCTCTTACAGGACGAAAAGAAGTTGCAGAAAGCTATGTGTCTTATCCAAGCAAATCAACATGAAAGTCTAGATGCCCAGGCCAGCAGGCACGCCTCACACTCCTTTTAATCAAAATGAATACGGTTGTGTTCACTTTCTAGACCTGGAGGCAGTTTCCTTGGCCAACTGGGAAAACAAGGGAGGAAAATTATATCCATGCAATTATACCCACCACAACATTGGCTATGCAATCATCAGAAAAAGAATCAGAATTCTCGTCTAAGCCTTGGGTGTCTGGAAGCCTGCTTAAGATTAGGAAAATTTCCCTCTGCAATGTATCACTTTTCCACCCAACTCTAAAAACCATATTTCCCTCCTGCTTTGCTACTAATGTTTCAGTACAAGGTGGAAAAGAGTCACAATACTGATTCCCCCCCCAAAATTAGCATAGGGATTGGCAAACTTTTCCATAAATGGCCAGAGAGCAAATATTTTAACCTTCGAGAGTTCCGCAGTCTCTGTCACAACTATTCAATCTTGTGTCATAGTATAAAAACATTCATACAAAGTATGTAAATGAATGGGCATGGCTGTGTTCTAATAAAACTTATTTGCATAAACAGTCAGCAAGCCAGATTTGGACCATCAGCTATAGCTTTGCTGACAGGGGTCTAGCAAAACTGCAAAGAAATATTTCTAACTCCAAGCTGGAGTTTTTGTCAAGGATTTGAATTAATGTTCTTGTTAACAGTTTAAACCTTGTTAGAATTAATTGCAAATATTTATCCTCTTCATGTGATAGATCCTATTCTCTTCTAAAAGTCCCAATTTTTTTTCCTTTGTAAAATAATCATTTTCCTTCTTATTCCGAGGAGCTAGGTTTAAGGTATTAAAATCTATGCTTTCTCTTAGCTGGGTTTTTAACTTTTCGAAGTGATTTGTAGAAGTTTTTCTGTTATAGGTACTGGAGGTCTAGTAACTACAACTGATCACACTATTCAAGAGAAGGAAATTCTACCATTGTATAACCTGATATAAGAACACATATGCTTCTCACTTCCATTCTTGGCATATTTGATCATTTTTTTGAGCAAACTAAATCATTTTTCCACCATCACTACTAGCCCCCTTCCCCATCAATTTCTGCTTCTTATAGTAGCTCAGGAGCTTGGCACAGCCCTCGGCCCCAACTAGATGTTCAATACACATTTTTAGTGGCAAATTTATTGAGCAGATGGATAGATGGGCTGCCACTTCACACCGGTGAATAATATGATACTGTGGTTGTAGTTGCCTGTGATCATGCCAATCATTTCTGCCCTGAGAAATTGGACCTAACCGTGCTTCTGACAGTGTTATCAGACTAGCATCTTGCAGAGTCTCCAAACACATCATATCTTGCTCTGTGGACATGATGGGGAAAATAATTAAGGATAATGATGGTAATAATCATAATAATGTTAGTTGATACTTATTGACTACGTATGTGCCAGGCACTGTTACAACTCATTTAGACCTCATAATTTCCCGATTTTTCAAATGGAAATTGAGTCATAGACAGGTATGGTAGGCAGAATAATGGCCTTCCAACGATGTCTACATCCCAGTCCCTAGAACCTATAAATATGTTAGGTCACATGGCAAAAGGAGTTAAAGTTGCAGATGGAGTAAGGTTGTTAATCCACTGAACCTAAAACAGATTATCCTTACTTATACTGGTGAGTCCAACATAATCATAAAAAGTAGAAAAGGGAATCAGAAGAGAGAACCAGAAAGTTAGCATCGTGGGAAGGATCCATTGGTACTCCAAGTAGCCCTGTGTTGCTAGCTTGAAGATGAAAGAGGGCCCACAAGCCAGGAGAGCAGGTGGTCTCAGGAAAGTGCAAAAGATGAGGGAATAGATTCTCCCCTGGAGTTCCAGAAAGGATTACATCCTGCAGACACCTAGATTTTAGCCCAGTGAGATCCACTTTGGACTTCTGACCTTCAGGACCAAAAGATAAGAAATGTTTTGTTTTACATCACCAAGTTTGTGGTAATTTGTTGCAACAGGGGAAAAAAAGGAGGCAAAGTGACTTGCTCCTAGTCACACTGCTAAAAAGGAGCAGAGCTGAAATTCAAACCATAGTCCAAAGACAATTTTATTACCCATATTCTATACCATGTCTCAATAAATTAGGAGGTCATCACCTTACATTTAAAACAAAGCCAAAGCAGCAATGTCCACAATAACCAAACTGTGGAAAGAGCCAAGATGTCCATCGACAGATGAATGGATAAAGAAGAGGTGGTATATATACACAATGGAATATTATGCAGCCATCAAAAGGAATGAGATCTTGCCGTTTGCAACGACGTGGATGGAACTGGAGGGTGTTATGCTGAGTGAAATAAGTCAATCAGAGAAAGACATGTATCATATGACCTCACTGATATGAGGAATTCTTAATCTCAGGAAACAAACTGAGGGTTGCTGGAGTGGTGGGGGGTGGGAGGGATGGGGTGGTTGGGTGATAGACATTGGGGAGGGGATGTGCTATGGTGAGTGCTGTGAATTGTGCAAGACTGTTGAATCACAGATCTGTACTTCTGAAACAAATAATGCAATATATGTTAAGAAAAAGGAAGAGGGGGAAGATGGCAGGAGGGGAAGAATGAAGGGGAGTAAGTTGGAGGGGGAGATGAACCATTAGAGACGATGGACTCTGAAAAACAAACTGCGGGTTCTAGAGGGGAGGGGGGTGGGGGGATGGGTTAGCCTGGTGATGGGTATTAAAGAGGGCACGTTCTGCGGGAACAACGGGTGTTATGCACAGACGGTGAATCATGGAACACTACATCGAAAACTAATGATGTAATGTATGGTGATTAACATAACAATAAGAAAGTAAATAAATAAATAAATAAAAAGAAGCAGGTGAAATGAAAAAAAAATAAAAATAAAACAAAGCCAAAGCAAAAAGAAAGATGAGAATAATCCCCAAGCGCCAGAAACAAAGATAAATCTCAAACAGGGACAACCATGTGCCTGGCATGCTGCATAGAGAAAAGTCAAGGCTAGGAAACAAAAAAGAAACCAGGGCCATGGAGGATAAAGTGGTAATACCTGCTGCTTCTGTGACCAGATCTGTGGTACGTCGACATCACCAAGGAGCATTAACTTCAAAGCATCACTACAAGATGTGTTTTTGCATTTGGCTTCCAAGGATTGTGTAGAAGCATGTGTGGGGGAGGGAGAAATGAGAGTGATGGAGACCACAACAGAGTCTCCTACTCAGAATGAACCTGAAAATAAAAATTCCAAGACATTTTAGGAAATCTAGTGCTAAGTACAACCTTACAAAGATGTTTAAATTAATATAATTCAGATGTTCAAAAAAATAAATGAAGGCATCATTTCCAATAGAGATGTACACTAAGTTTTGAAACAAAGACAGGCAGAAATGGAATAAGAAGAGATAATTATGGGAAAAGGCACAAAAAGAAAGCTTGGAAATTAAAAATATAATAATTTGAAATGGCAAAAATAAAAGAGGTGTGAACTCTAGACTAGACATGGTCAAAGAGCAAATTTATTGCCTGGAGGATACTCCCTCCAGAAGCAGCACAGAAAACCAAAAAGGTAAAATCTATAAACTGCAATTAAGAACCTTTGAAGACATTGACACATAACTTAAAGAGGCTCTAAAAGAAAAGAATAGAAGAAATATTAGAGGAACAATTATTTGAAGAAAGATTTGCCGAAAATATTCTTGAATTAAAGACATGAGTTCTTAGATTAAAAATGACCTCCAAGTGACCAGCAGAACAAATTTAAAAAATCCACACACACATACATTATTGTGAGCCTAGGACTAAGATAACAAACTGGTCTTCAAAGATGCCAGATTGCCTACAAAGAAACAACAATGGGGAGATCTGGCAGCTCTTTGACAGCAATCTATTCCAGAAGACAGTGCGATCATTTCCACAAAGTGCTGAGGAACCATAACTGTGTACCTATATTTATCCCCAACTAAATTACCACCCAAGAGACAGGAAACAATAAAGACATTTAAGACTTAAAAAGACTGAGCTAGCCTCCCACTCAGAGCAATTTAGAAATATCCAGTAAAATTAAAGATGTACATGCCCTACCCACCCCCCAGGAATTCTATTTCTATGTATATGCCTTAGAGAAGTTTTCTCATAAGTATACAAGGAGATATGTACAAATTCCTAATGACAAGTTGGAAATGGCCCATATGTCCATTAATAGGAGAACTGATAAACAACTTGTAGTGTAGTCATTCCATGAAATATTATTACTACTCTAAAGTTTATAAATGAAAATGTTTCTCAGCTTTCAAATGAAAAGTGAGGGTTGAGAAAAATGCATTCACAGGGCCAGCTGGAACCACGAGGTGTTTGGTTGGTATGTTGGCTCCAGTATTTCTGCCATGTCTTCAATAGTCCCCCTCCCAGTGTTTGTGTGGCCTCCCACGGCTCCCACGTGTCTAGCTTCTGGTGGCCAAGTGTGAACCACAGAGGATCATTCATGTTACCAAGAAAGCCCACACCCTCAGGATAGAGTAAGAGCCCCAAAAAGATAGGTGACTAGTTGATGGGAAGAGCTGCTGTTTAGATTTGGTCTGTAATTCTCTGAAACTGTTAACTCCTTGAGGTGGAAATTTCAAGTTTTGTCAAAATATAGGTTGGAAAACCCCCTGAAAAAGAATTTGTATTAAATATACATTAAATGTCCAAAGTTTAATGGCTACTTGTCCCTTCCTTCCTTAGCAAGCTTTTCTTTATTTTTAAGAATATTCCAGTGAATTTGTGCCGTTTTGATATTTTCCTAAACATATGTTTTATTTCAGAACTGGTACGCCAAAACCCCCATGGGTAAAAAGCGAGCCTTGGCGCTAACAGGAGGGGACATTGAAAAAGAAAAGGATAAAGGGAGAAAGAAGGGAAAAAAGGAGAAGAAAAAGTAATGCCCCTCTGAGGAACCATCCTTGAGTGTCTCAGGGCTGGAGGTGGTCCTGACCTGCTGGGGAGAAGACTCACCATTGCCTGTCTGAAGAAGACCCCGGCCGATGCCCTGAGCTCATCCGCCCCTGCATTCACTCAGATCTTTAGTAGGCTCTACACCAAGTTCGAGGTCCATCACAATTGTTTCTAGAGCGCATAATTGTTTCTCAGTCTGTGTAAAGTTTGTGTGTAATGGAAATCCACTCCACACACAATCTTTCCATCTCCTCAGTACTAGTCACTGAATTTACAGTGTGATAGTTAGAAAATACTCTCATTTGACAATTAGTAAGTGATTTGAGTCTGTCACCAGCACTCTGGCTTTTTATTAATCCATACATACTGTATATTATCTTGCACATATTTTAATACAATAATTCTTTGCTCTATTAATCTAGTTTGTATAATGGAATAAAAACTGTTGTCTTTGAACCGACTCAGTAATTTGGTTGCTGGAGCCAAAAAAGATGTTTAAAATTAGCAAGCTTGGGGGCACCAGAGTGGCTCTGTCAGTTGAGCATCTGACTCTTGATCTCAGCTCAGGTTTTGATCTCAGGGTTGTGAGTTCAAGCTTCATGTTGGGCTCCATGCTGGGTGTGAGCCTACTTTAAAAAAAAAAATTAACGAGTTTAATCTTCTGATTTTGAAGATGGAGGAACCGAAGCCCAGGATCACACAGTGGACATCTGGGACAGAGGGAATAAAATCATCCTCCCTTCCAGCCTGGTGCTCTTGAGAAGCATGTGAATATGAGCAGGCTGATGGCTAGATGAAAAGTACTACAGAAACATAGGGTAAATATGGAAAAGAGGAAACCTGAATGAAGAAGCAAGAAATGCTAAATGAGAACAAGACTAAAAAATAGAAAAATAATGGTCAAAGATAAATTTAAATTTTGTATGAATATGAAAGTTTGTTGGGTGGAAGATAGTAAGTAACCTGCTTCTAAGTTGTGGTGAGAATGCCATCAGAGGAAGCAGACAGAATTTATTTGAAATTGAATTTATTTATTTATTTAAAGATTTATTTATTCATTTTAGAGAGAGAGAATGAGCACGCACAAGCAGGGGGAGCACAGCGGGAGAGGGAGAATCTCAAGCAGACTCCCCACTGAGCACAGAGCCCGACATGGAGCTCGATCCCATGACCCGGGGATCATGACCTGAGCTGAAACCAAGAGTCGGAGGCTCAACCAACTACACCACCTAGGTGCCCCAGACTTAAACTGAATTCCATCTGAAATTTAGGAATACCCTATCTGACAGTGTTGGTCACACCATAGAAGGTTGTAGAATCTCCTGCTCTGTAGACCAAGCTAGCTCTCTGGGTTTTCCTGGATTCCTGGTAAGTTAGCTCTTCAATGCCCCCTGCTTTCCAGTGTCTTCTGGTCCCCAGCACATCTCCCCCTCAGCTGGTGTCTACATGGGAGACAGGCACAGATTAGGACAGAGACAGCCACAGGCCCATGTGCTGGGGACATGCTCTGCACACACCAGAAGGCAGTCTCCCAAGTCTGCATTCATAAATGACCTCAGCTTTCCAACTGGCCTCCTGCAGACTTGCCTCCTCTTCCCAAAGGAACCCCGGTTTCCACAGACGGTGGGCCTGCCCCCCACTACCTGCTTCAGACTGCATCTGGCCACGGCCCAAAGTGGCTTGACAGATGGGCAGACTCCCCACCCCAACCTCAGAGAGCAGTTCAACTTTCACGTGTTCTGGACAGTCGCACCGAGACCCTTCCTGTCACATAGAATGGGAACCAGACCATTGATTATGACCCAAGAAGTGACTTGAAGGCTCTAGCATTTGATGCTCATTACAAAAGAGTAGGATCTGCATTGTCAAGAAATGAAAATCATGAGAACTGTAAAGAAATAAACAGTGTTAACATGTTACAAGTAGACAAGATCATGCAACTTGGTCTTGGTTTAACGATAAGCGCCCTTGGTCAGAACTCATACAAATTTGTGTTGGTAAAGCTTAATAAACAATAATTAAATGGCAGAAGTATAACGGATACACATGCGTTCCAGCAGCCCCATCCAGGAGGACTACCCACAATGACCAAAATTGTGGTCCAGGTCTGTGCTCTCCCACGGCAATAGCCAACAGTCACATGCAGGTACTAAGCACTCGAAGTGTGGCCGGTCCAACTGAGGGACAGGATTTTTTATCTAACGCTAATTTAAATAGCCTCATGTGGTTAAGGTGATTACATATTGGATAGTCCAGCTTCAGAGTAATTGGTAGGCTAGCCTAATAACTATCACCCCGCTGTCCCCTGCTCTTCCTCATGGCACCCCCACACTGAGACTGGATTGTTCCTGATCACATGGTCTCCCCCCAAACTATGGCCTCCTGCCCCTCACAGTGCTAGATTTTTGCTTGAGTTCCCTACGGCTTGACTGACCCCACTCTGCTTCCTGGTCCCCGAGAACACCGATGCTGCCTCCCACCCCAGCAAGCTTTGCCCTGCTCACAGGAGCCCTCTGCTCTGCGAAAGCGGACCCCCCATATGTCGCTGCCAATCCCACAGGAGCCTGGCACGCTGTAGCCCAGCACAGGTGGTATTCACACCACGGCTACTGCTTTAGATGTGTGGCAGGAGATGTGTATATGTATGCACATATGCTTACACATACATATACTCCACTGTTTTTACACACAGGATTATATATCATAGATATATTGTTTTACCCCCTTGCTCTTTTCACTTAATATACCTTGGGTATTGTTTTATATCAGCACACGCAGATTGGCCTCATTTTACGTCGGCTACATAATGCCCCACTTTATGGATATAGCGTAATTTAGATGGATGGATGGATGGATAGATAGATGATAGATAGATCAAATATAGCATAATTATTTATTTATACAGCATAACCAGTCTCTGACAGACATTTAGATTATGTCCACCCTTTTGCTGTTCCATCAGTGCCCAGTGGATACTTTTATACATTCTTTTTTTCTTGGTAGGTATGGGGAAAAAAATCTGTGGGATAAATTTTTAGAAGAATTGTTACTGGATCAAATTACCTGTGCATTTAAATCTGAGTAGCTCTCACCAGGTTGCCCTCAGAAGAGGTGCCCAGGGGCGCCTGGGTGGCTCAGTTGTTAAGCGTCTGCCTTCAGTTCAGGTCATGATCAAGCCCCGTGTCAGGCTCCTTGATCAGCAGGGGCCTGCTTCTCCCTCTGCCTCTGTCCCTCCCCCCTGCTCATGCTTGCTCTCTCTCTCAAATAAATAAATAAAATCTTAAGAAGGAATGGAGGGAGGGAAGGAAGGAAGGAAGGAGAAAGAAAAAAGAAAGGAAGGAAGGAAGGAAAGAAAGAAAGAAAGAAAGAAAAAGAAGAAAGGAAAGGGGTGCCCAGCCAGCGCACCTGTCCTGCAGGAGAATGCCCATTATGTTATCATCCACCGGGCAGGTTACCAAACTATGATCCTGTCAGTGGTCAGTGCAAAAAATCCCCAGTCCCCAGGAAAGGTGATGCAACAATGCGCAACCTTCCATTTCTAACAGACAGAGACATGGGAGAAATGACAGGAGGAAAGGGAAATAGGAGGTGTGTGGGGTGGAGGGCGGTGGGGCTGGAGGAAAGAAGAGCAATAGGCTCTTCTGGGGAGTTCTGCTGGGTCCTGAGCTATTCCTGGGCCATTATGTGACATTTAGCTCCTCTTGAGCATGTTCTTAAGTGAAGGGGACAGTAATTAATGTCATTAACCCTCATTAAGGGAGAGTTCTATGGAATGGAATCTGATTAAAGTGGGATTAAAGCTCTTGGTGGCTCTGCACTCGGCCTGCCCTGAGGAATCAGCAGGTTTCAGGTTCAGAAGCCTGATAACACGGCGTTTCCTATAATGTGTCCCCGAGACCATTAGGGCTTACACAAACACCTCCATTTAGAACTAGCAAGTTTAGAATGCTCTCATGCTATTTGGAGGCTCTTCCTAAGCCCACGTCCACATCTAACACAAAGGCAGTCATTGAGGAAGTTGTCACAGGGCTATTTCACAAGAGTGACACTATTTTCAGCCACTAATGACACTAGGGGACCCAAACCTCTGAGAGAAGTAGCTTCCGATGTCCTTGAAAGTTCAGACTAGAAGAGACACATCGGGTGATGCTAACGACAACAGAGGAAGTAAGAGACAGTGGACTTGGAACCAAGGGAGCAGCCACCGAGGCAGCGAGATTTGGAAAACCAAAAGGACCTTGGCCCAAAGCTGTGACTCCCAGCCCCTGAAATCCCTCTGTTAGAATCGTCCACGAATGCACGGTGCTGGAACAATTCCATCTCATTAGAATTCACAGCCCCAGCAAAGCAGCATTCTTTGCTCATCTTGCAAGTCTTGTACCGAGCGCCTTCTATGTGCGGCACCAGGACACAAGGCAGGCGAGCTGCTTTGCAGTCGAGCGGGGGAGGAAACATGAATAAAATGGTTGTGCAATGAATGTGCAAAGCCAGATGGCACAATGGGGGTGTGTAACCGAGAACCCGAGCTCATCTCCGGGATCAGGCTTGCCACTGCCTGGCTTCATTCCTGCAGGGACTCCTCTCGGATGGAGAATCTGAGACTCCAGGCAGAAGTGGCAGGTCTGTCTGATGCTTTAGCTTTTCCCAAGGGCTGCTCTTTGTGCCTGTGTAATCACCTAAGACAGTGTGTTTCGGGGCCCTGGCACGTGGGATGCCCTCAGTAGGGTTTGCTGCCTCATAGCTGTTCAGGAGTACACTTCTCCCAGTGGGCTTTGGGGAAGGAAATGGGAGCCCAGGAGTCAGGGGGGGGGCATTCTGGCCTCCCCCACACTCTGATTTGTTGTCAGATCACTGTCTTCTTGCCTGAAGCAACGAGCCCAGTTCCTCCACATGGCAACCAGGCACAGTGCCTCACTCTTTCTTTTGGCCTAGGGATTACGATCTTAGAAATTAAATCCCTACAGTCAATTCTAGTGGTTTAGAGCAAAGGCCCTGGCAGACCCCAGGGCAGAGTCTCATCCCAGCTCTCACCATCACAGGCTGTGCACTGTCCAAGTTCCCAGTGGGCATGCATTTAGTTTCTGCCTTACTGAGCTGCTGGGAGAGGCAACCCAGCTATGCCCGATGCACCTGCCACGGTGCCTAGCACCACCTATGTTCTCCGTGAACATCCGCTTGCTGTTCAATGACTTCTGATGCCCAAGGTAGATCCTGCCCAGCAGAGCAGGCGCTGTAGTGGAGGTCTCTACATTTGTGAGATAATAGTGCTGTGCTGTGACAAAGGAGGGCTCGGGGGGGGCGGGGGCACGGGGTTGGGAAGCTCCCACCTTCTTGGGGCTAGGGTGAAAAGAAAGGGTCCTGTGAGAAGTCTGGGACTCTCTGCAGGGTTCTGCCACCACCCTCCATCTCCAATCCTTTCACTCAACTCTGTTTCCCTTGTTGGGGGCCAGTTTTGGC